CGCTTGCCCCCCCCCCCCCCAAAAATGAAGGTCTGGCTACGCCACTGCATTTCAAAGGTTCTTAGGAATGAAGTGATAAAAAGAATTGAGGTTATAGGTGCACCTTAAAACGTAGTCGAAACACTCATCTTTATTTTGTTAATCTAGACCTTGGAATGTCCCATTGCGCGATTACCAACTTTCCGATCACCTCTCGCCCTCGTTTCACCTCGTTCAAGCGCTTGAAAGACAATCAAACCAAATATAGATGTAATTCAAATCATTTTATGATGTAAGTCATGAATAATTTATTTGAAGTACTTGTATATTACATTTTGCATCTCATTCTAAGAATATTAACATAGGTCATAATTTACTTTGATAAAATATAGCAACGTCTGTTTCTCGTAAACAAATACTGTAGATCTGATAAAATCCACCCTTAATAATTATACTTAAATATGTTCGTTATGAATATGTACAGTCAAAGCTATTTTATTTATATATTACACGTATGTCCATAAACGGTTAATATTTACATCGCCTCTTGACAGACAATTTATCTAACATGTTATCAGTCTGCTATAAACGTACTGGTATGTTTTGGATGTATGTTAATAAGAGAAAACAATAAGTTGTGAGTTCATCAATTCTGTCTTTTCCCCAGTGTTTTCCACTGCTTAACATGCATCTAAACGACTAAAATAATATAGTAGGCGGGGAAATCATACAAGTAGCTGTATTCTTAAACACAATATAATTCGTATAATGTCTGGAAATTATGCGTGGTATTCTCGAGAAATTTCTCATAGTCTGCTAATCCAATATGTTATGTACACTGAGAGGGTTTATCGAAGACGTATTTCAACCGCATAATGTTTTGAACATGGTCTTATTCTCGTACAGATCCAAGCCATTGAGTTTCAACGCCCAGCAAAACGGTACGCTTGTAGAGCAGCCAGGTCTGCTGCACTTGATGAATACCCGCCATTTTTCGCGCGGGAAAAAACTGTTGGCCCACAGAATGGCGACGATTTGTGAACTTTACTCGAGCTTTTCTTTTTCTCTTCTTTCTTGTTATCCACTAACTTTCGCTGGCTTGACGTGGAGGCCATCGACGATAAACTGCTAGCACTCGAAGCAACAGAGGTACGAGACGATCCACAGCTACTCGATATAGAGCTTCCAGTTAGCGAATTGCGTTTCTTCTTCGAGTTTAAACATCGAAAAACTGTTGGTGATAAGGTGAAGTTTCCCATTTCGATTTGTCTTCGTTAGGTTTCTTCTCAGTTTTTTATTGTTTACTCCAAACGGGCTGTACGCCAAAACTAGCCGATTGTCTTTGGCTTTTAGTTATTGTTCTCTGAAGCGGATGGCTGCGTGTATTGATTGTTTTGAACGTTGCCCACGTCTTAAGTACTATTCCTTTGTGAAATATGATATTCAGTATTTTGAATATATGCGATAAAATTACCTCGAAACTTCCGTGTTTATATCACCATTGCGTGCATGTTCAGTGCGCCCTTTCCTGTGACGTTATACTCCAATCGAATTATATCGCCGAGTGAAATGCGAACAATCACGAACGTCAAGGTATTTGCACGAAACTTCCAGCCGAGCACTCTACGATGATATTGCGATATTTCAGGGGATGTTTGTAACATGATCAACTAGCTAGACTCGTTGCGAAATGGAAAAAGATATTGTTGCGTAAAAGCGGAATTACAACTCTTGCCTAAAACTGTCCTTACTGTCGCACGCAACATGCTAACACTGTTGAGTTATACTGTGTAAATCAAGCACACAACTCTCCAACGACAACATTATTATAAATTATGATTTACACAATTGTAAGCATAAGTTGTAAGCAGTCTGAGGTTGCATGCGACATGCAGTTTTAGGCAAGAGTTGTGTAGTGTAAATTGGCCTCAAATGATGTAGAATAAACGAAAAATTTAAAGATTTGCCTCCACTAAAATTTATTTATATATGCTAATGCTAGCCAGCTTAATTACCGTCGGGCCGCGACGTCGTTTGGGAATGGTAAATGGCCTAAAATCTAAATGTGTCTGAGGCTACTTTGATAAATCAGGGTTTGGGTAGGGTCGTGCGCACATATCGAGAAAGCATTTTTCACAGGGTAAAATGGTCCATATCTAATTTATTACACAAAGACTTTCGTGTCTATTCTATACATAAATCATCAAGGACAAAGACACAAAGTAAATGTAGATTGTAGTATTTAAAAAATATAGTTGCTAATTATAGTCTGTTGGAGTATTGCGAAACTCTTCCCAATAAGATTATACGCGGCACTTACATGAAGCTTAATTTGTCAACAGCCAACGCCTTTGGTCGCCTTGACCGTAAATTTCATTACATGGTCGTACATATCCTCCGACCGTTTTACGGCTGGATAACTATTTTGGGATATAGTCCGTTTACACATGCTTGACTGCGGTTAATGACATTTGTTGCGTTAATTTAATTTAATATTATACAACATGCCGTGTGGTAAAATTGCATGGCCATCCATTCAATAAGAACGTAGCTATATAGCACAAATGCACTCCTTCTAATATTTCAAAAAAAAGTTTAAAATTTGGGATTCTGAAATGGCATGACTCGAGCACTTTTATGAATTTTTTTTACATTTCCAAAACAAGCCGTTTAAAGGTGCTTTGGGGATATAAGCACATGTCAAGCAAACACAAGGCATATACGGAAACAATATTCAAAACAACATAATTCCAAGAGAAAATTTTGTATTATGGATCAATCACATTTACACACATTGTATTTGAAAGTATAGACAGTATAGTCTAGAATTCAAACCTATTTTTTAATGCTAGCCTTAGGGCCGGTGAGCCGCACCTTAATATTAAAACGCAGTGTCCGATTATAAGAGCTGTAACCAGATAGCGTTTTATGCATCGCAAATATATGGCGTTAGATGAGGCGTTTACAGCAAATTTGAACTGCTCATAAACCTCTACCCCTGCTGTTTACGAGATTTACTGACTAATTCCATAGACATAGTGAATGTAGAAATATTAAATCATTTCACACATTTCTAAATTTTTCAATGATCTCTAGGTTTGAACTTTAAATTTCACTAAAAGTAAACTAGGACTGACTTGTAAAAGCCCACAAGGGTTTATCTGGTCCGTTCAGTATCAATTAATTTGATGTAAATGTGTTATGAGAAATGAATAAAGCTACTGATTTCGTAAACTCTCTCATGCACAGCTCTCATGCACGAGATAACTTATTCTAGTCGTGTGAGCGTGCGAAATGATGCTGAGCCAGGTGTGTCAGGTGTGTGTGTCACACACCTCTGGCTGAGGTGTGTGTCACACGCATAATGCGTAAAACCTGGTACTGTATTTGACTATTTGAGTGAATATGAATATTACTTTCATGCACTGTGATGACCTATGGTGATGACTGATGAAACGCGCTTAGACGCACCACGAGTTCGTGTCCTTATGCATAACGCAACGCTGAAACGCTTGAGATGGCAACATCCGTATTTTGATTGTCAACAGCAGGGGATGGTTGCTCTAAAGCGAGGTCAAGCACAAACCACAATAACAATATTATTAAGACTATGAATAGCTTGCCGAAAAATTTGAAGGTTCATTGAGAAAATTCAAAACATTACAAGATGGTAGACACTATATTATCACCGAGTAATATATGACATCAGTGGAAATGTCGGCTTGCACTTTAACAATCTGTTCAATATGAAATTTCATTGCTATACTATGATCTGCAGATTTCTATTCTTTTATTTCATTACATAAACTGTTTGTACATTTTACTAAATATGATAATTCTTCATCGGTCGGTGGGCCATGAGCCTTCCACCTTACGAAGCCAGCCTGGTCGAGCAAAACGGCATGCCCAACCAGCGTGTTCTCGAAAAGCGTTTTCACGACTTCTGTTCCCTCGTAACAACATAAGAAGTTTTCCTGACGATCTGAGGGAATTTGTTTTCGTAGATTATTGTTGATGAATGACCTCATCACTCTAAATAACCAGCTGTCAATTAAACTCACCTGTGGGTAAAAATTATAAAATTATTAAACGATAACAAGAAAAGATAATTATAGTGATTATAAAGATGTAAAATATAAAATGTAGTTTAGTCAGCTTACCTCATAATATTTAGTGTTCCTATTAGTTCTAAATTTCTCCGAAAAGGTGTTTCGATAAATGTCGCAGGATTTCTATTAAAAATTGGAATATTTCATTATTGTTTGTATATTATGACTATTATTAAACTGTTGATAAATTAATTTATCTAGTTTCACTATCATAATCATAAAGCAGGAGACGATAAGCCATGAAAACAGATGTCTGAGAGGAATATTTGTTCAAACATTTTGAATTTTCTGTTCACCTGTCCATGTTCTCGTGTCCACAACAATAGTAACGTGACATTGCCTAATGTATCTTGAGGAAGTATTACTGAATGTCCTGCAACTGTAACTCCCTGAATAGTTGGCAAGGCGCTGGATTCCTAAAAATTCATATGAAATACACATTTCTAGTGAAATTTGCTAATCCAGTCATCAAGGTTGTCTAAATATAATTGATGTGCATATTCGCACCTCTCTAATGAAGGGTTCACTCAACGCCAAATATCGCTTTCCACCAGTAGCTTTAACTTCTGTAAGATCAAATTTTAGTACACATTTTTTGTTGTAGGTGCTCTTATGATTTATTGGTTAGTAAAATATTTAAAAATATGCTACTATATACACGCACTATGGTCTTTAGTTTTCAATACCTTTTAAATCAGAAAGATAGCCTTTTCTTAGCTCGGCCAAACTACAGAAGGGAATTTTGGGTGGTATAAAAGTACTAGTATTGATAAAAATTCCAGAGGTGTTTTTTTTGGTGAAGTGGGGGTACGCCGGTACGGATTTGACAGAGTGAGTTTATAAAATTCAAGTTTTATAGTTTAGTTTACAAACAAATCAGTGAAATCACTCACATTTTGTCTCTCTTTTCTTGTCGTTCTTTAGCATTCCCAAAAAGTTGCCTTACAAAAATACGGGTTGGGAAACGTTTAAAACCGTGAAGCATTGAATAAGCTCGAATGTAATACATAACCATTTCACAATTTGTATATCACGAAACTTTTTGTGCCCTTATCCCCCGGAAAATAACAACATTAAGAATACACGATCCGCTATGGTCAGCAGCAGATGTAAACAAAATGATAGATACGTCATGATAAACTGATGAAAGAGGTTTTAGTGTTATAAAATTATTTTGATTTTAGGTGTTTGAAAATCCTCCTCTTTAAAGTTTTAATGGGTGATGAAGCTGCAATCCGTTGCATGAGACATTGTAGTAACGACTATAATATATTTTTTGTGAACTTCCCGGAATTCTGTCCAATTTGCAAGGGCCAAATAAAAGGGTCATTTTTAGTCTTGCCGCCATTTTGTGTGCCTCGTCCGTTTGTTTCAAGCTTCCAAGCTCCGTACAGTATTGTGGTAAAGCCAACAGAGGGTTGCTTTTTGAAGTAAGTGTAAAGTAAGCTTTCTGCATTTCTTGAGTGAGTAAATATTCGAAAATTAATGATATCTTTCTTTGAAGGACTTACCGAAGTGGACATGACTTGCACATTGGCTTAACCTCATCAAAAGGTTCAAAATTACAAAAAATAGTACCTTTAATTTGACTTTGTGATTTGTTTAATTTAGATTTAGGAATGTGTAGTTCCTTTAACCTTTAATTTCTTCCATAGATGGGTAAAATGGGGTTAATTTATACCATCGTTAATCATTTCTTATATTAAATTTTTTCTTATATTAATTTTCTTTATTGGTTTACTTTTAGGTTTGGTTTACAACTATGATGAAAGCGGTGTTCACATGGACAATCATTTGACATGGCCCGTGTGTATTGCAGTGGATATTTTGGACATTTTGAAGGGCTATTCTGCTTCAGTGATTCTTAAAGACTGGGACAAAACATTATGCGAACATAGTAATAAATCTGAATGGACTTATGACAAGTATGAAGTGATAAATTTTATTCAAACTAACCGGTTCATTTATCTTCAATTAATATTTATTCAGCTATTTTTAATTATCTCTTGCTGTATAAATGTGAAGAAAATTTAATTATCCGAGTACTTTTTCAACTTTACTTTTTAGGTACGGTCCAACATTACACAACTGTTATGACTTCGTTCTATCATTCCTCAAAGATATTTTACCAGGATGCCAAGGTTTCGTGGGCAAAGATAGCTTCTGCAACACACACATTATACCCAGAACAACAAAAGCAGCGCAGTACATTGATTTGTACAGAAAAGTTGTAGATAATGGCCTTTTTGTGAGCAAAGCCAACTCGCCTGATTGAAGACAGGGGCATGGACTCCGTCACTTAATATGCATGTCTTCTTCCCGGTTGAAAAGTGCCGAAATCGTGCAGCCTATAGTAGAAGTCTCGTATTCTGGTTAAGGCCGAAATTTCTGAAAAACCGGCCGTTGGTAATTTCTGAAAGACTCGAGTCCAACGCTTTTAGCACGAACTCCGTGCTAGATATGACAGATTCGATTGCCAAAGAAGTTTATTTTAAGACAATCGGTCGGCTTAAAATTTGGCGTACATGAGGTACATCACTCAGTAGAAAGAAACGAGTGAACATGAACATCGTGTTAAGTAGAGACTTATTTAATTTATTTTATTTTACAAGATTGGCCACACACAAACATAAATACCACTAAACCATTACACAATAATACAATAATTTTACATATGTTACATACAAAATAGGCAAGGACTGACCACAGAGATAATTTCCAATAACGGGGTCGCGACTTAATTGATAATAGAGGCTTGGATTAGAAAGAATATTATTTGAACTATTATTTAAGTAAACATGTAATGCACAATTTTATTGTATCAAATATGTGTCATTTTACAATTTCTCAACAAAAGATTGAATTGCAATGCCTATGGCATCAGGTGAGTCCTCTTGTAAAAAATGTAAACCATCTACTTTCACCGTCGTTGTGTTGGGCCATTGTAGTGCGACTTTCTTAATGGCTTTGCTGAAGAACCCTGGTTCAGCTTCAATGAATAATTTTGGGATATTTGATGTTGACAAAAATCCTCCATACTCGTTGACAATTTTAAGCACATCTTCCGGACCTTCTCCCTCAACTGGAATCTCTCTTGGCCAAGTCAAGGTGGGTCGACGACTTTCCCCTTCTTCTCTATAAGGCATGTTATATGCATCCTGTTCCTCTTTGGTTAAATCACGCATGATACTGTTTGGCAAAAGAAGATCAACAAATAGATTCTTTTTCAAGATCATTTCTTCACCTGCCTCTGTGCGAATAGCTTGAAATATATCTCTTGCAATTTCTGGCCAGGCATTCCAGGACTTGATGACACTAGCAATGCTCTCCATATGAACTATACCTTTCACTCGATTTGAATTTTGGTGGCACCAGTGAAAGCCGAGCCCAGATCCCCAGTCATGACACACCACAATTATTTTATCAGGAAGGTTGACCAGCTCAAACCAGGCAGACAAATATTTGTAGTGGTCTACAAATCGGTAAGAGCCATTCCCAGATTTACCTATAGAGTGTGTTATGAAAACATATGTGCATATTAGTATGACACCTGTGGAGAATGTAGCTGTGAAACATATCATTCTGCGCAAGCTTGATTCGATAATGATGACAATGAGATGGTGATGATGGTTAAGGCAGTGCCGGTATTAATGATGATGCCAGTGATACTGTGGCGATGTCTGTAATAATGATGGTGGTGGTGATGGTTATGGCAATGTTGGTGTTAGTGTTGCTGGTCATGATGTTGATGATAATAGTGCTGGTGATGATGGGGGCAGGTGATGATGGTGATATCAATTGGTGATGCTCATGCAGGGCCTTTTTTAACATACAAGCTGGGGGCAAATGCCCCCCCCCAGTCCCCCCCCCCCCCATGAAATCACATTTTGGAAAAGTCCCTTTTCCCTAAAATTATAGAAACAAACCAGCGAAGATTAACAAATACATAAACGGAAAGTAAGTTTTAGGCTTTATCCTTTGTCCTTGTTTAACAAAATCGATTTAAATTGTTACTTTTTTCTACCACTAAGTAATGATAAGTTATTGTTAATAATTTTTTTTATATTTTGGATGCTCAGAATGTAGGAAATAGCATTTCTGTGCTTCAAATTTCAAAAATTTTCTGGGGGAGTACACCCCCACACACCTGACCATTGCTATCCTCCTCTAATAAGTAATGATAAATGATAGTTAATTTTTTCCTTTATTTATTTCAAATACAAGTATAGTTAGCATAAATTTTGGAGCAAATTTGGATGCTCAGAATGCAGGAAATAACATTTCCGGGATTCAAATTTCAAAAATTTTCTGGGGGAGTACTCCCCAGACCCCTCCCTATTCATGCGTGGTATATAGGCCACACATGTGACCTTCAGCCATTGCTATCCCCCTCTAATATATTATCTCATAGAAAGGTTCCTTTTCAAAAAATGCCCCCCCCCCCACGGGAAAATCCTTAAAAAAGGCCCTGTGCTCATGATCAATCATCAATGGTACCGGTAGTGATGATGGTGATACTGATGGTGGGTTTATTTATGATGGTGATAATGATGGCAATAATGCTAGCAACACATATAAAAATTCACTTTTCAAGGTATCTCAACTTGGGAAAATAGTAAAATTAATTTTTAAAAAACTTGTGAGAATTTGACACAGCCAAATTAATCCTGATTTTAATAACCCTTTACCCAAAGCTACCTATTCAAATAGCCGGTTTTGTACTGATACCTGACTGCCCCATGCCAATGAGATCAGGTGCCAGGCACCGAGCAACACCATCTGCATGTGGTATAATATTACGCCATAAATAGGATGATGTTGGATTTCCATGTAAGAAAACAATGGCATTGTCAGGGTGATTTTCTGAGTCATAGTAACTCATGTATGAATCTAGCACATTGATCTTCTTGCATTGTTCAAACCATTGAGGTCCTGTGATTAAACTACGCCGTGCAAGTTGATGTCTGCCATTTGGTTTTAGATGCCGAGCGATAGTTACAAGTCTAGTGGAAGCCATTTTGGAGTTTGGACCTATATGAGAATTCCTAGACAGGAGCTCTGAAATTCCTTGATTTTCCTACAAATTCTTTAAATTGCTTCGATCAATTTTCTGTAACTTCCGCTCGCTTAATTAACCTGCGCGCAGTTCTGGCTGCGCGCAGGTTACTGCTCGCTATAATTACATATGTATCACCATATTTATAGGTATGTAAATCAACTAGGCAACGGCTTAATTGAATATTGTGCAATTCACAAAATAATTGCACTCTTAGGGGCCGTACTTAGGGCGCTTTCCATTAACACGGCCAGACCGGTCAGAACGCAACGGTCAGAACGGTCAAATTGTTGAATGGAACACAAAACATTTGGACTTCGGACCTATCTGACCGGAAAATTTAGATAACATTTGAATGAGGTCCATTTTCGCTAGATATTTGAGAAACATAGACCAGATATTTCCATTGATACTGAGAAAAACAATTTGGGTCTGACCGGTCAGGCCAATAAATGGAAAACCTAAAACACTCCTGCTCGTTTATTAAACAGTACTTTATATACTTTATATCTTTTATAAAACAAGTTAAAACATTAATTATGTAATAACAATGCCAAAGAAAGTTTAAGCAGCTACGCATGGTTATAGCATATAGCATTCATATATATTTTATCTATTTAACACCATATAGAAATAATTCAGTAATCAGTATTACCATAGTATTGCCTATGCTTCAATTAAATTATTATTATCACATGTTTTTCACAGCTTTGTTCTTATACTGGCTATGAGTTTCCTTGGAAGCTGGCTACAACCAGTAGCCTCAGGTCCCAAAGATTTTAGCTTTCCAAGCTTCTCAGTATTCCCTAACAATGCTGTTTTTTTGAAGAAGGTCTATTATAGTATATGTATTCCCAATTTCTCAATCCAATTATACAGTTTATTACTAACTGCATGCTCCTAAGGCACTACTACTATTGGAATCACTTCTACTTTTTTCATTGCCCATATTTTCCGAATTTCCCTTTTCAACTCATCATACTTTATCAACTAATTATTGTTATTATTATTATTATTATTTGATTATTATTATTATTATCATTATCATTATTATTATCATTATCATTATTATTATTATTATTATATTATTATTGTATTATTTTTATTTATTATTATTATTATTATTATTATTATTATTATTATTACATGTTTTTCACAGCTTTGTTCTTATGCTGGCTATGTTTTTTCCTTGGAAGCTGGCTACAACCAGTAGCCTCAGGTCCCAAAGATTTTAGCTTTCCAAGCTTCTTCTCAGTATTCTTCCCGTCCCTAACAATGCTGTTTTTTGTAGAAGTTCTATTCTTATATGTATTCCCAATTTCTCAATCCACTTATCCAGTTTATTACTAACTGCTCCTAAGGCACCTACTACTATTGGAATGACTTCTACTTTTTTCATTGCCCATATTTTCCGAATTTCCCTTTTCAACTCCTCATATCAGTCTCGCGATGTCTATGATCTTGCATTCCTTTTCCTTCTTTAAAACCACTACAATATTAGGTATTCGACATTCAATCACATGATCGCACTGTATGTTAAAATCCCAGAGAATCTTTACATTATCTGATTCAATTACTCCGTTTGGTTGGTGTTCATACCATTTTTCAGCTTTCTCTAGTTGGTACAAACCACATAGCTTCCAGTGTACAATGCGAGCCACATTGTCATGTCTTCGTTTGTATTCTTTTTGTGTTAGCTTCTTGCATTCACTTAACAAGTGTGTTGTATGCTCTCCCTTATTATTATTATTATTATTATTATTATTATTATTATTATTATTGTCTAAATATCCTCCCTGCATCAGTCAAATTCATTCAGTGTCAAACAGTTCTACGCAATGCCCTGAAAACATCTCCAAACGATTCAATAAACGAACTGTGGAAGTCAACTAATAATCATACTAACATTCAATACGATAGCTACAACTCAACTAAAGAAGTTTTAAAAACTTTCCATTCTCAACAAGAAAATAAACTTACGAACCGTT